TTAGGTGCTCAAATTAAAAGCACTTTAAAATAAAGTGCTTTTAATTAAAAAAAATTCTACTTTTAGAGATGATTTATTAAGCTTGAAGCAGAAATAAGGTCAGGTCTCCATGGCTACTAAAAGCCCTCCATTAGAACTACAAATTTGGATGTGCAGGGTTGGGTCATTTCAGAAGTTTACAAAGTGACGTTATAATCCCAAGCCAGTAGAGGGTGCTGTTTTCCCACTGGAATCAGAAGAAAAAAACATTCATTTTCTTCTTGTGTCCCTTCCCAGCTCAAACCCCCCATCCCAGTTTGGGAACACGGGCAACATGGTGACAGCCAATCCGGCTCCGGCCCAGGGCACCATGGCGTTCGCCCCTCATCCCTCCATGGTGAGCGTCGCTCTGCCCCCCCCAGCGTTCGCGCCGCACAAAAACGAGGAGGACGACGATGAAGACTATGACTCTTAGCTACCTCCCTCCCCTCCCCACCAACAACCTCTCATTATCTCTGTCACACACACACACACACACAAACCCAGCATTATTTCCAGATGAAGTTGGCCCCCTGGTGGCTGCTGCAGCAGTGAAGAAGATGACTCTTCATCTTCATCACAGCCCGCTGACTGAAGAAAGCTGTAAGAGACAAAACCTTGTTGTACATTAGGTGTTTTAATTTTTTTAAAAAGCTTTTATTTTAATGTAGAGATGGGGGGGGGTTGTTTTTTAAGCTCGGTCTTTGCTGTTTAGGTTTTTTGTTTGCTTTTTATTTGGTCTTGACTAGTATAACACGGTGAGCCTCAGCAGACAGGATAGGTGTGGTTTATTTCACCTCACAGTTTGTTTCTTTTTCTTTTTTTCAAAATTTCTCTGCATAATAAAAACAAACGCAGTTCCTCCGACCCAAAGAATAATCAGCTTTTAAAGCTCAGGCTGATGCCCAGCCCAGGCGAGTTCTGAAGCGTGTATTTGGTGTCATCTTTCAGACGATTGTTAAGATAGCAGTTGCATCATTTTAGTCGTGCCTGATCTCAGTCGACAGAAAAAGTAGGTGAATTTTTTTTATTTGTCTTTTTTCCCCCACCATGTGTTTGCAACCCGCTGTTTGCTTTTGTTTCAAATTTAGTCTCTACTTTAAACTCAAAATTGATTTCAACCACATCAGCAGGGAGTAAAGATTTAGATCTGAGTGTTTGTTTTTTATTTAATTTCACTTACCATAAATTTATTTGCCTGTAAAATACACAATGAATATTGGACCACGTGTTTTTTTGTGTGTTTTTTTTTTTTGTTGTTTTCTTTTAAAGTTTTTTTTTTTTTTTCTGGCCACACCCTCCAACGTTTGCTCCTCTGTCTTTAACATTCGTTTTTCCTTCTTTTAGATTCTTTATTTTAAACGAACGCAGAGGCGGATCTCCCACTTCCGCGCCCGGCTTGTTGTAAAATGGTTGCGAGACAGTTTACTCTGTATTGTAAACTTTTAATGTTCCTTTTATTTTGTATGGGTGAAATAAAGTTCACATTTCAATTTAAAACAAAAAATAGGCAGATGTTGTGGTTCCTTCGTTGTCGTGAAAAGAACAAAATGAACAAGCACAAGTTCATGTTACGTTCTGCTTTAATGTTGAAGTTTGTTTGTTTTGTTTTTTTAATTCAACCGCAAAAAAAAGTTTACATAAATGTTCCTCCGGAGTCGTACGCTAGATGACACCAACAACCTGAACCTGCTTCTCCATAAAGTTCTGTGTGGTTGTATAGTTTAAAAGTTCAGATAATTTTCCCATGCTAGCAGCGAAAATAATCAGCCAATGGAACAAGTACTTTTTCTTTTTTTTTTAATAAATATCAATTATTGATTCTAAACAAGCACTTATGTCTTGCTTAAAAGTGTAAGTTATTTTTGTCTTATTTCAAGTTCTACCAAGATGTTTGTACTACAAACTAGACCAAAAAATACTTTGTTAGACTTTTTTTGTTTTTGTTTATTTTTGCAGTGTAGGATCAAGTTATGTTCCAAGAGAAATGTCTTCCACCAATCAGGACCTAGTTCTGCGTTGATCCATTTCCCAGTGTAATGGAGCAATGTGCCAAATAGTTAAAACTTTTGACGCTAGTGGGGTGGTTGTTTAAACTTTGTTATGTTAGTATAACAACATGCAAAAGAAACGATGTTATGGCAGATATATTTAGTTAGGGCGTCCATCTTTAGAAAAGTCTCTTTTGGTTCACCGGCTGGAAGTGGAAAAGTGAAACCCTTTGGCATCTTTTGGCAGAGTCGTCAAACTGCTTCCTCCTTCATTTCCCTGTTTCATAACCGCAAATCACATGATTGTAATCCCTTGGCTCTATTTTTCTGCCTCCCTTTTTTCTTTCTTCTTTTTTTGATGTTGCCTCCTCCCTAAATTTTGCAACGCGGAAAGGTTCCCATGGACGCGGCTTCGTGTTCCGTGACTCACACGGCCCTCTGGAAGACAATGCCCAGTATTTATCGGCAGCCTCTCCTTGGGTATTTGAATCAGATTAAGTGCAAGCCAGCACAGGTTGGGAGAAGATCTGCTGGGTTGCTTGTCACCTTTGGAGCGTCAGGGGGTTGGGGGGGGGGGAGCTCCCGCTTTGCCCCTTGGAGCGTCTTCAGCCCATTTCCTCTTCCCACTATTTGTTTGGTTAACCCCGTGCTTTTTACCACCCAACCAAAGAGGCGACTTGGATCTGGTGCCACAAAAACAACTGCATCCTTCCTGCATAAGAGTTGACTCAGCGGACTGGGAGGAAGGCGGAGCCTCTTTTGTGTGTCTGAGTGTGTGTGGTACGGAGGACGTGGGATCGGAGTTTGGGCGGTTGACTTTAGGATTGGTGTTCAGACAAAGAGCAGTACGGGGGAGGGAAGGGAAGGCAAGCCAGCAGAAGGAAGCGCACTGTTTCCACACAGCAGCCAACAGGGGCCAAAGGTGGCCCCTCTGATTCCCATCCGCTCCCATCAAGCTACTGTCTTCCAGGGTGTCTGCACTTTTTTTTTTAAAAAAAACAAGAGGAAATGTGAGGGAGGGAAAAAATGAAAAAGAAATTCCCTAATGTTTAGGCTTGAATCAAATACACTTTGTTTCAGCTCTTAACAAGACAACTGTCTAATTTCATGTGTATTTTATTGTTTTAAGCGTTGAGTCTGTTTGCTGTTCAGTTTGGTTGCTTGCTAAAATGACATAAACAAACTTGCATAAAAACTTGAACGTTGATGTGGCCATAAATGGAAGGATTGGCACCAAGTCGACAAGACATGTCCCACTTTTAAATTTGTATACAGTTTTTTTAATTTATTTATTTGTATGTGCTTGATTAAAGTTTCTGGATAAAAATAGTGGTATAAAAATGTTTCCCTTCTGGATTTATATACCTTTTTCTCAATTCGTCATGTTTTAAAGGGACAGTATGATGTGAAATGAACGTTTGGGTTTTATAACATGTTATTCTCTCATCAAATACATATCTGGAGTGTTGCTTTGATTCTTTCATGCATGTTTGAGAAATCCTTTAAGCTCCATGGCAACCATTCAGCTGTGCAAAAACGCCTGGTTGGACCTAGCCCCGCCTTGAAGGACAAAGTTCTTCCTCTGAGCTGCAGTTTCCAAGCTTCCACCTCCCTAAGCCTTCGTCTGCCTCCCGCCGCTCCAACTCCTTCAGACTAGCCAGCAGCAATTAGCAAACATCTTGTGGAACTATGCGAGCCACTTCTCAGTGCCATTCTGGTGAAAACGTGAATCAAATGCACCTTGTTTCAGCTCGTAACAATACTACTGTCTAATTTAATGTGTATTTAATTGTTTTAAGCGTTTAGTCTGTTTGTTGTTCAGTTTGGTTGTTTGCTAAGTTTTTTTCATCAGAAGCGATAAGGAAGCGATGACTTCCTGAAGGCAGAGTTTTAGAAAGTGCAGGAATTTTTACAGAAACAGTGGCCCAATTTTCTTTGTGCTATGCCAAGAAATCCCAATAAATTAAAAAAAGCGGAATGAGAATAATGCTTTTATAATTGGCGTAGGAAAATAAAATGGATGAAAGAGTTTCAATATATTTCAGAAATAACCCAAAGAATTGGGACATACATCAAATGGAATATATATCTTTTAGGAAATTCCGTTCTTTAACCAAATATTAAAGGTTCAAATGAGTAACTCTTCCTGATTTCTAAATTGAATTAAGCCTTTTCCCCCCAGAGATGGGCTTATTATTCAACACATGTTGTAAAACCTAGACAAGCACGATCTAATGGTGTGTTTTTCAAAATAAAAGCAATTTTTAAAGAATCATAGCTGGGGGTTTTTGCCCTTCAAATTGCAATTTTGTGTTCCTTCTCTTTAAAAGTAAACATTCCCTTCTACACAGAAAGCACACAGTCTCGGTCAGATTGTGTTTTTAGCATTCTGTCATTAAATATGTGAGATGTGAATGAACAAGGATTTCAGTATGAAATATTTCAATGGAAATGGCTCCAACCAGTTGGTTAAAGGCAAACAAACAAAACGAACAATAAGATCAAATTAGTGATAAATCTTCTTTTCACTTCATTTCACCAGAATACAAATGTAATCAAACGGTTTGTATGTTTTCAAAGGTAAATTAAGGCACATTTTGGGTTCAGTAGTGCATATCATATTTCAAATTGGTTGAACTCTTAATTTTTTTTAATTATTGGTGATATCAATGTAATTAGTAGATTTTAATACGCTTTAGTTCAGAACATTTATCAAAGTTAACTGGACGTACTTAAATTCTTTTAAAAGGAAACGTGATTTTCAAAGAGAAACTTGCCACTCACAACATGGCGGAAGCGTTTAATCACGGCAGTGCTCCGTCTACTTCTCGTCTGGCTCGGGCTTCGAGGCCCGTATTGACAAACTTTTATTTTGAAATCGGAAGTTTTGTGTTTACTTCGTCCCCATTGGCGGGAGCGTGTCAGCTGACATTGTTTCCTGTTGGGAGAGGAAAAGTTTTGAAACCCCACCCTCCGGCACAGCGGCTGTAAGCTGCGACATTGGAGCGGTCGGAGGTGCTGGCTGCTGAAGGCTGACCGAGGAAGAGGAACGGAGTAAGAAATTGTCACGGAACAGTTCCGCAGTTTGGACACCGTCGTTATGAAGCGGAGCGCCGAAGTGAACCGGGCCCGGCGCTGAACTCCCAACAAGAACCAAAAGTTAACGGGAATAGTTTGTTTTTCTTTCTTTCGGTTGTTTTTTTTTCCTCCTCAAGACTGAAAAGCCAAGGAGGTTTGGAGAACTCTTCCTGTTCCCAGAGTCGGCGGCTCGCAGTTTACGTGTGAGCTCCTTCATAACACAGCCAGCATGGATGTTGTGGCGCACCGGATTGCGGGATTTCCTGCGTGGTCACCTCAGTGTCGCGTACAGGCGCACTTTCTGGGTCCTCGGGCTTAAATAATGAACAGTGGTCAGCGCTTGAAACTTGTCGTAAAACACTGGTTGGCTGGACTGAATGCTCCTTTTCCTGCTATTCTTCTCCTCCTCTCAGCGCTTCCTGCTTATGATGGCCACTCTCTTAATGGCTAAAAATACATAAAAAACCGAATATGGACTATCGAGTGCGTGGGGAATGTTGATTTGGACTCTTATCTGTAAGCGGATTCATTCCTGAACATTAATTTTGAACTTTGACTCTTCGGACTTGCTCCTCAACAGGTGGTTGTTCTGAATGAGGAGGGGAAAGGAGGACAAATTCAGTCATAATGAGTTGATTCCAGAGTCTTTTAACCAGGATGATGAGATGATAATCTACTCACACCATGTGCGGGGAAACCACACACCACATCAATCTTTCAGAGTTAATCACTGCTTTCTTTCAGAGATTTGATAAATGCTACGAAAAGCAAACCGTCTGAGGACTGCTGAAATGGAAAGATTTGAGTTTAATCCCAGAACAAATGGAAGACACTTGGCTTTCATTTGTCCCTGAATCCTCTTCCATAGCCCACCTGTTGGTCTGACTTTTGAACACACCTCATTGGTCCCTGATGAGACAACAACAAAGACAGGAAAGGGAGCAAGGTGCAATAAAGTACTCCTTTGTACTTTATTTTCAGACCCCTGGAGTGCGCAGTCGGATCCAGTCAGGCAATATAGTGGAGGTTCCATGGAGCCTCTGAAGAACATATTCAGTCGTAGCTCGCTGTCGAACTGGAAGAACTTGGATCAGTCCCAAAAAGGGAACTTCACCAACCCTGTATGGACAGCCTTGTTCGACTATGAGGCCTCCTGTAAAGACGAGCTCACCTTGCGTAAAGGTGACCTGGTGGAGGTTCTCTCTCAGGACTCTGAGATATCTGGGGATGAGGGTTGGTGGGCAGGTAAGGTCAACAACAAGGTGGGCATCTTCCCATCCAACTACGGCTCCTTCAAGCCTAGTGGATATGCCAAGCTACCAGGTACCAGCGTGGTGGAGGAGCTAAACCGTGCTGTGGTTGGCACTGTTGATCCCGAGGAGGTGGATTTCCGGGAGCTGAGCTTGGAGGAGGTGATTGGGGTTGGGGGCTTCGGGAAAGTGTATCGAGGTACATGGAGGGGCGAGCTGGTCGCCGTGAAGGCGGCCCGGCAAGACCCGGACGAGGACATCAGCGTGACAGCGCAGAATGTGAAGCAGGAAGCCCATTTGTTTGCCATGCTCACCCACCAGAACATCATCGCCCTGAAAGGGGTGTGCTTGCAGGAGCCCAACCTGTGCCTCATTATGGAGTATGCCTCGGGTGGGCCACTGAGCCGGGCGCTGGCCGGCCGCCGCATTCCGCCTCACATCCTGGTCAACTGGGCTGTGCAGATAGCAAGAGGGATGGTGTACCTGCACAATGAAGCCATCGTCCCCGTCATCCACCGGGATCTCAAGTCCAACAACAGTAAGTCCTTAAAGTCTTTCAACTGTAACACCCTGGTCTGTCCATCTGTGTCTAACTGGTGGATTTAAGGTTAGGGATATAATCATAGGGACCTTAGTTGTTTCTAAAAGGCCTTTAGGTGCTTATTCACCTGTCATGGCAATAGCGAATGAATGTTACCAGTTTCAAGGTTTTAAAGCTCTTTGATTTTAAAACAGAAAAAAAATTGTGTAATGCAGGTTGCTGTGGGTGGCTGAAAGCAAGTTCTAGGTGTCATTGTCAATCTTTCTCTGGTTTGTAAATTTTTTTCTGTCGTGCTATCTCTAACCTTTAAAGAAATTCACACATGGAGTGAAGGGAGTGTCTGAGAAATGGGTGACTATGAGCGGGGTACTGTCACTGCTCCAGCAGGACTAAATGAATGACTCAATTACTCAAGAGAACATTGTCACATTCCTCACCTGATAGAAATAAGCGTCATTCATGTGATTTCATGTTTGTTGAACCAGGGAAATATCATAATTTTTCATTGTGGGTTGCTAATACTTTTTTGCGGTAGCCCAATCACATGACTTGCATGCTGACAAAAGCAGGCCTCAGTGATAGAGACCTCAAGGTCTTTGAGTGAGACTTCGACGGGACAAGAGTACTTTTCTGCCGAGCAAAGGTCAGGAAATGTTTCCGCATCAGCACCTTTGGGACTCATCCCTCGGACTTTGATACCTAAGGAGGCAGCATGTCGGCGGAACACGTCTCTACTGTTCCTGTATTTTTACCTTCAGTTTCTTTCTTCCAGCTACAGTTTACAGTCGATGGTATTACTTTTACCGATGTGCAGTTCTGTCATTTCCTGAGAAATATGGCTTTGACTGATGAGGTTAATCTGCTTGATTCAAGTTGTTTATTGCACACTTTGAGGGGAGGAGGACATTATGAAGCACATCCCAAGACATCCCTCCTACATATGCATCAGTCTCAGTCGTCAGATCATTGACATGATTGTCATCACAGATATCTTCACCCTCCCTTATCTTTACCTGTCAGGGTTTCTCTCCCAGATGAAAACTCATCTCCTGCAGTGCAGGAGAAGAAGAAGCAGCAAGAAATTATGGTAATACGGTGTTTGTATATGGGGCAGGCCAGCTCCAACACAATCCCTCTCTGTGTGCGCAGCGAGATCATATCGCTCTCCTGCCTCCTCTTGTTTTTTAATTCTTCTCTTGAGCTTTTGTCCCTGGCCTGCCTCTACATGTCTCCACACTCACGTAGCCCCGTTGTGTCACTGAGCAACATCCTGTTGTGTTGGAGGAAGGATAGAAGAAAGATCGGTGGGGGTGGAGGGATCTCACCAAGACAATGTCTTTTTTTTAATTGTTTTTGTTTAATAGGTTTTGCTAATTGGTTTGACAAACAGGTGCAGAAGCATCGAAGGGCGATCTTAAAAGGAAATAAAACAGTTTTTTGAACGATAAGGTTTGTAGTTCAGCAAAAAACAGATCAGCCTCTGAAAGAGGTGTCAGTTCCTCAGACTATTGATGCAAGTTCTTCTTTCTCGAGGTGCCATTTTATTTCATAAATCTGTCACGCTTGTTTTATCTCCTTTCTTTCATATCTGTATCCCCAAGTGAACTGTATTGCAGCGTGGCAGCAACTTGTAAAGGAAATATTAAAAGATGGAATCGAATGCAACATTTTGCTTTTGTTGTTGTGATCTGGTCAATCGAAAACCACAGGTTAAGAAAATGACGAGCGCAGCATAAAAAAAAAGAGAACTTGGGGATAATTGGGCTCATCTGTCACAGTGATGGATGGAGGTGCAAAGCCATTATCCTCACAGGGCTCATAAACAACTGCCAAGAGTTGCTGTTGAAGCTAATGACCAGCAGAAGATGCTGATTAAACAGGAGCGTGCTGGAGAGGGTGCATTGTGGGGGCGCTTGGGTCGAAGCCAGAGGGCCATAACTTGAATTCCAGTGAACACGGACAAAGAGAAGAGAGTACAGGATTGTGTTTGGATGTGTGCAGGGGAGTTGTACTTTTGGCACGTTAGCTTTTTTTTGCAGCTGGTATTTTGAGACTTTGCATGAACTGGAATCCCTTTAAAATCCTTTTGCTGCATGCTTCCAATCAGGGGCCCCCAAAAAAGACATCTTTCTTAGAAGTAAAACAAATTATTATTATTTTTTAAAAATATTCATTTGTCAAACTAAACACAGCTGTAAAGCTAAAGATCTGCTTTAAAAGTATAATTGGTAAATTTTAGACTCTCCCCAAGCAGGTAATCTACCTAATGAATTTGATAATATCAGTTATACTTGTGTGAAAAACAGCAGAACAGCAAAAAGCATTTTGCCCAACAAGCCATACCGATCCAATTTTTTCTCTACCGATTCAGACATCTGAGATTCAGTAACGGCTCATATCTTACCCGAAACAGAAGAATAATGGTCTGACATATTGACGCAATGTAAATTTAATTTGTTCACTCAATTCTATCAGGGGTATGACGGCCAATGTCAAATAAGTAATAAAGAAACAAACTGAAACTGACGACAAAAAGTGGGTTGACAGCCTTGGTCAAAAATATAAAAATAAACTGCAATAAACCTTCTTTCAAATAATTCAGAAAGTGCTATTATATAAATGTAATGTAAAATAAATAATGATGGATGTCGCTGCTTAGAGTTAGACTGAACAGATCTGCCCAGTGGATCGAACACATCGTCACGATACCCAATCTAGAAATGTTTTTCAATGTCAAGCATTGCTGTTGAAAACCACAACAAAGGGTTCATTTTGATACATAAATATCACCAATGACATAGTAAGAACGGCTATAATCAGTCATAAGTTAGCCTTGATTGACTCTAATTGATTGAAAGTAAAAAGCGGTCTTTTTGAATGTTAGAACTATGGCCCACTGAGTCTCTAATCAGAAATAGATTGGCAGTCAGCGATATGTTCTTTTTCACCATCCGTCAAGTTCTGCTGTGCTCTTTTCACCCTGTGTGTTTAATTTGATTTATTTTCCTGCACAAAGCCTTCATAGACCCAAAACCAGCTATATGCAACACCACAGCACATAAAACTTTGCAGAGAGCTTTACTTAGAAATGCCAGCGGGGGGAAAAGCGCCAAGCTAAGCACTCTCTGGGCCGGTGCTTAGAGACTTCTTTCTCAGGAAGAAGCCGCAGATAGATCTTGGATCAACACAGCCTCGAGTGGACAAACATCTGATGTATCTCTTTACTGGCATGTTTTCATTCAGGGCCCCCAGTGTCCCACGATGTCACGTACTTAAAAAAAAACAAAAGACAAAACATCAATAGTGTGCGATGTTTTCTGCATGTATGTGGGGAATTGATGTCCCTGCTTGTATTATGTGCTTGATACAAGATACCCAAGCATTCTTTTTCTTCTCATGACTGTTTAAATTTAGCAAATTAAATGTTGAGCTTATGTAGCGACAGGTTCCTTTGATGATCGAAAGTACACAAGGTTGCTTAAGGTAATTAAAGTTACATAAGGTTGTGAAATTTATTCTCAATTTATGCGCTGGGCAAATCACATTGGCAGTGAATGAAGCACTAAAAAAGATCCACCATGTGTAACATAATCTGTTCTGTCCCACACTCGAGATACTGCCATCATAATTTTCTGTCCAATCTATGATCTTGTTTTTTTTACTTTTTTCTTCCAAGAATTTGACTTACTGATACAGATTTTAGTCCATGAGTGGACATTCAACACTAAAACAGAGGTTTTGAAAAAAATAAAAACCTTTAATCTGACTCGAGCATCTTCATATTACCAGTAAGAGCAGTTAGCGAGGTTAGCATTACAAAATCTCCATTCTCCACATATCTAAAATGTCCTACATTAAAATTCAACTAGGGAAGCTTCAATGCCTGGATGCAATGCTACTTTAAATGGTCCTGGCTGGCATTTACAAAGCAGCCAGTCCAGGAGAGCTGTTTCATTTTCTTATCGCTGATTGACTGTCCCTTTAATAGAGGCGATATGGATAACTGTAGAGATTAGCTTCTTCTGACCCATAACCTTAGATTTGCAGTCAGACATTCTCCTTTAACATTTTCTGATAAAAAGCAGAATCAACATCTCTATGAGTTATGACACCGAGCAAACAAAGTACCCCCACACCACATTGCACAGTTGATATAATTCAGTTTTTTCTGAAATGCTGCACACTTTCCTAATAGTCCAAAGAATAGTTTCTCATCAAGATTTTTTTTCCAGGAAATGTTGAGGTCTTTGTGTTATTTTAGTAAGCAGTGTATCCTGCCTTGGAACCCTCCAATGGAGGCCAATTTCATCCTGTCTTTACTGTGGAGTCATGAACTCTGACATCAACTGAGCAAGTAAGGCTTTAAAATAATTTTATAACCTTTCATACATTGACAGATTTTTTAAAAGATGTTCTTAAATTTCTATAGATTAAAGTATGATGTGTTGCTGTTTAAGATCTGCTGTTGGACAGGTTCTATGTGAAGAATGTTTTTTATGATCATTTTTAGGTTTGTAGTTTCTAAAGAAATTAAACAAGAACATGCTCATTCCTGTTTTACCAAGTCGGGAAACTATATTTTTACACAGGGCTGGGGCTGTTGGGGTAAGTTCCCCCCCCCTTATTAAACCCAACCTTCATTTTATATTGATGGGTTTTACCTCTTTCTGCTAATAGTTTAGTTTGGAACTTTCAATTCAGCTCCATTCAGAGTGATCAATCCCAAAAGGAGCTCACATTTGTTTTCCCTAATTTTAATGCACTTAATTTTTTTTAAATAGTTGAATAATACAAAAACCTAAATTGAAGTAGATGCCTTTTCTTCCAAGGCACTGTAATTGTCACTATCCCATCACCAGAACCCAATGCTAAAGCTGAATATCACTTTTAAATGTCAAAAATGTCCTATTCCTTTATTTTCTTCCTTACTTAAACTGAAACACTTGTATTTTTTACTTAAAAATTTTGAAATTGGACTTGGTTGTAGCTGGGCTAAC